GTTTCGGCAAAAGAATGGCATTTTGATCAGTTTTAGCATTTTTAATAAGTGAAAAAGGTTGTTTGGTAAGTAGTTGTTCGACACTAACGTGTTTAGACGACAACGCTGAAATGGAAACGATGTAAATATGAATGTTTCGGGTTAGTATTTTGACAACGCGCTAACTTATTCTACTAATCAAATACGTTGACTTAATCCGCTATTTACAAGCCGCTAATATAATCCGCTATCCTCTAAATGTCAAACGCGTCATACTTTGTCCATATCAAAATAACTGTATCATTTAGTTTTGGGAAAATGGAAATTAATAATCGATTCTTTTAGCGGTCTTCATTCGCTGTTCCCACTTTATCGTTATTCATGAATAATCCAACATTTTCACCTCATCTTCATTCGTTGGTCCCTGACCGGTTGACGACCTACTATTCCAGGTTTTTTCATTATCTTTGCAAATCATTCAACCATAAATCTCACCTTTTATAAATCTTCAGCAAGCAGTCCCACATGTCATTTTTCTTTTTTCTTCCTAAAACGTAACTTTTTTTTTATCGTCTTGACTCTTTTATTACCCTTTTTTGTCTTCTTATTTTTATTTTTATTACTTTTCAATTTTTTTATTTTTTTCAATGTTTATGTATTCCATTTTTCCTTCTTTTTCTTCTTCCCGTTTATTATTTCATTTTCATTTATATATATTTTTTCGGATTACTTTCTTAATAAAAGATCTTTTTCTCACCGTACTAACTTTTTACTTTGTTTTCTTTTTACTTACACTTATTTATTTTCTTTTTCCTTTTCTTACCTTTATTATACCACTAATATATATTTGAGAAAATAGCCCCAAAATAGGACTAAATTAATCCCCAAATGCACAAATAGGACTGTTATTTATCTTTACTAAAGTACCGTCTATCTTCTTATTCTACATTTCTAACATTACCATAAATTAATAGGATAATCATATTTTACATTATAATAAAATACTGTCTGTCTTCTTATTTTACATTTCTACCCTTACCATACCTTTCTTTTTATTTTGTTACTATATTTTTATAAATTGAAATACCTTTTGTTATTTTTCTTTTTTATTATAATGTAAAATATGATTATCCTATTAAGTTATGGTAAGGGTAGAAATGTAGAATAAGAAGATAGACGGTATTTTATTCCTATTTTGGGAAGATAAATAACATAGTCTTATTTGTGCATTTAGGAATTAGTTTAGTCCTAACTCCTATTTTGGGGTTTTTTTCTCAAAAATATATTATGGTAGAATAAAGGTGAGAAAGGGAAAAAGGAATATATGTGTAAGTAAAAAGAAAATAAAGTAAAAAGTTAGTACGGTGAGAAAAAGATCTTTTATATGGAAACTAATCCGAAAAAATATATAAAAATGAAAATGAAATAATAAACGGTGTTAGGTATGGGCCTAACAGTCCCTTGAGCCGGGGAAACTCGTGCATCTTAAACCCGGCTCTTCGGTAGGAATGCCAAAAAATCCCACACTGGTGGGCTAGGAGAGTCCTTGGTACCTTATAAGGCCTCGGCTCTTCACCACTATTGACGTGTTTTAAATCGGTGAGGGGCAACCCAAAGCGGACAATATCGGTAGGCTATCTGCCGGTTGTGGGATCGATCCTTCAATTGGTATCAGAGCCAGGGGGTAGCACCGGTGTGGGGGGATTGTTAGGTATGGGCCTATCAGTCCCTTGAGCCGGGGAAACTCGCGCATCTTAAACTCGCCTCTTTGGTAGGAATGCCAAAAAATCCCACACCGGTGGGCTAGGAGAGTCATTGGTACCTTATAAGGCCTAGGCTCTTCACCACTATTGACGCGTTTTAAATCCGTGAGGGGCAACCCAAAGCGGACAATATCGGTAGGCTGTCTTCCGGCTGTGGGATCGATCCTTCAAACTGTAGAAGAAGAAAAAAGGAAAAATGGAATATATAAACATTAAAAAAATTGAAAAGTAGTAAAAATAATAATAAGAAGACAAAAAGGAGAATAAAAGAGTCAAGATGATAAAAATAAAAACGGAAAAGTTTTAGGGGAAAAAAGAAAAATGATACGTGGGACCGTTTGAAGAAGATTTGTGAAAGGTGAGATTTATGGTTGAATGATTTGTAAAGAAAATGAAAACACCTGGAATAGTAGATCATGAACCGGTCAGGAACAACGAATGAAGATGAGGTGCAAAAGTTGGATTATTCATGAATAACGATAAAGTGGGACCAACAAATGAAGACCGCTAAAAGGTTGGATTATTAATTTCCATTTAAGATAAGAAAGAATGGTAATAATATTGCCTATGAATTTTCATTGGAGAAATATATGACCACATTTAATTTAAATTAGGACAAAAAGAGACCACCTATTTTTACAAATATCTTTCTATTATTGCAAAAAGAGACCACCTAAAACTATCGTACTATTGCCTATGAATTTGATTGTAAAATATTTACTGTGTTATTGCAATTTTTTTTGGAATTTTATCAATTCAGGACCCGAAAGATAGATGGATATCAATTCGGTATCTGAAAGATGAGATCTATCAGTATAGGACCCGAATGATAGATGACTTATCAATTCGAGACCTGAAAGATGAGATCTATCAGTATAATGACCACATTCGCGTATGAAGAGAAAGATATTACAAAAATGAAAAAATATCTTCTTACTGTTAAAACTGCAATAATATAGTAAATACTACGTACGTAGTATATAATAACGATACACTCATACAAGATCAATTAATATTTTTTATCATCCGTGTAACAAAATAAATCATACAGATTACTCATGAATCGTGACAGGTAGTTTTTCCTGACTGAGACATCGTGATTAACTCTCCCACCATCCTAGGTTTGGACTCGGGCCGGGTTGGGCCCGACCGGGCCGCCGGTTCCGTATCCATAGGCCCGAGACCGGCCCGGGTCTTGACCGGTTCCGGGCCGGGCCGGTTCCGGTTCTTTTTTTTTATTATTCTTATTTATTTCACCCCCCATCCCCCCCCCCCCCGACCCCCAAACCCCTCGGAAATACCCAGCCCAACCCAACTAACCCCGGCCCAAACCAAAAAAATCAAAATAAAAATAAAAAAAGGCCCGAACCGGGCCCGGCCCGGCCGGGCCGGTTCCCCTTTTCCCTTACCCGTGCCCGGAACCGGTAGACCCCTCGAGCCTAGGCCCGAACCGAAACCGGACCTGGTTTCCCGGGCCGGGCCGGGGTGTGGGTCTCCTGGGTTGGGAGCAGGGGTGAACCGGTTCCGGTTCAGGCCCGGTTCGGGCCTGGGCCCGGCCGGGCCTCGGTTTAAGAAGGGGAGGCCCGGAACCGGCCCGGGTAACCCCCGGGTCCGGGCCGGGCCGGGCCGGGCCTCGGTTTAATTTTTTTTTTTTTTTTTTTTGGCTTTTCCTAGTTAACCCCCAACCCTCCCCCTCACCCCCAAACCAACCCTAACCAACTCAAATGGCCCAAAATACCCAGCCCAACCCAAAAAAACTTAAAAAAAATTCAAAAAAATATATATATAAAATTGGCCCGGCCCGGGCCCGAACTGACCGGGCCGGTTCACCTTTTGAAGGGCCCGAGCCCGAACCGCCATCCCACCGGGCCGGTTGGCCTGAACCAGGCCCGGAACCGGTTCACCGGTCCGGGCCGGGCCCGCACAGTAGCGGGCCGGTCCGGTTCCGGGCCGGTTGGCCCGGCCCGAGTCCACCCCTAGTTGGGAGATTCCACCTTTTGGACCAAATAAATCATACACTAGCATATTCTTAACTTAATACCATTCAATAATTCTGTTCTTAGTTTCTTACTACAAAAAAAAATCTACCTTTGAGCTCTATCCTTTTAATAGGTTCCTGTCATTATTCTTAGATGAACGTAAAATCTTCCTAATCTTTTACGTAGTACTTTATATATTTAACTTTTAGCAAATTTGAGTTTTTCTTTTTCGATTCTATAAAATTTAATGTAACTTCTAAATATATAAATTTTATTTTCTAAAAAAAGAAATCAAATTATGACCAGAAATTAGTTAACTTTGTGACAATCAAATGTTGTAAATTGCGTGAAAACATTTCTACGGATGCAATTTCAAATAAATACAGCTACTAGTCAAGTCATAGAATAACTATATATATTGCTCGAATTGACAACTTAGTGTATAAGGTTCTAACATCACGTAGGATTAGGGGTGGACTCGGGCCGGGCCAACCGGCCCAGAACCGGACCGGCCCGCCACTGTGCGGGCCCGGACCAGCCCGGGAACCGGTTCGTTGGCCGGTTCGGGCCACCCGGCCCGGTGGATTCTCGGTTCAGGCTCGGGCCCTTCAAAAGGTGAACCGGCCCAACCGGTTCGGGCCCGGGCCGGGCCAATTTTATTTTATTTTTTGATTTTTTTTTTATTTTTTGGGTTGGGCTGGTTATTTTGGGCCATTTGAGGTGGTTAGGGATGGTTTGGGGGTGAGGGGGAGGGGTGGGGGTTAACTAGGAAAAGCCCAAAAAAAAAAAAAAAAAAAAAAACCATTTTAAATGGTTCGACATGGCTCATATTTCTCCCAATCACACCAAAACCGTAGTTTACTCTTTCATTATTTTGTTGGGACCAGAGGTGGATAGATAATTTCGCCATTTTAGGTTCAGATAATTTCCTAATCAAGAGTAAAATATGTTAAAAGTGTAAAAGTAAGACTCCAATATTGTGTAGGATAAAAAGAGTTAGGTTGATAAAACCACCCTTCATGAAAAAATTAGTTTATTTCTTAAAAATACATAATGAAATGACAAATAAAATATGAGAGGCACAGAACATTGGAATTACATTAACAGATTACTCATGAGTCGTGACAGGTAGTCTATTTAAAAAATCCAGAATTACATTTTTAATTGTTTGAAATATCCAATTAAAGGTTGCAAAGTTATTACAAAGCTAATGAAATAAATATGTGATATTTGAGCATTGAGCATAACACATACGTGATATTAGTTGAAAACTTGAAAATATATAAAGTAGAAGTAAATAGATTTTGAAATTATGAAATAAAATGACTACATTTTTCTTGAAATATGAGTAACATAACATTATTTACTGTCATTTTAGATTAGAGTCATTACTGTCAAATAATTGCATTAGTAGGCATTAGTATGACAAACTTGACAGTGTCATCATTAATGACGGTAATGACTTCTATTTCGGGAATAAATACTTAACTATCCTATTTTGAAATTTCAAAAACTAATTACTCCTGTTTAGGATAATATCCCAAATTAGAAACCACAATTAATAAAAATGTGTGAGTTCCAAGTCGGGACGGAGATGATGTTTTCTGGATGTGAAATTGAGGAAGAAGAATACGTTGAAGCTAGAGAGATAAATCCGTGAGTGGTATAGTGTGGCGGCCCACAGTGAAGCCTGTAGATGATTCCGGTTAATCAGTCAACTCAAGAAGTTTAATCCGCCCAGCATGAAACAGGGCGTAAGCCCGTCAGAACCAAGTGAACCTTGCACAAGTTTCATCAGAGTCAACTGAAGAAGTTTAATCAGCCCACCATGAAACAGGGCCTAAGCCGTCAGAATCAAGTGATCCCTGCACAAGTTTAATCAGTCAACTGAAGAAGTTTAATCAGCCCACCATGAAACAGGGCCTAAGCCGTCAGAATCAAGTGATCCCTGCACAAGATTAATACGAGTCAACTGGTTTATGCAGAAAATAGAGCAAAAACTTTCATGAGTAAAGTCTGCCATTAATACGTACCGTAACAAGCATAGGGGCAAATGACTTTGATCCATTATCTTGCTCTAAAGGTATTCGAGGATAGCTAACATTGTGAACTCGGAATCGTATCTGTGGAGGATTTACTTAATTAGTGCTTACTAGTTGGTAAGAAAACAATATAAGTTTCGTATGTATGAGTCAGAATAATATTGAAATTTTACCCACACACACAATAACAACCTCATCAACGCCATCAATCAGGTATTCTTGTTCACTGCTGCCTTCGAACATCCACATCCACCGGACTTGGTTTCTAAACCAATTCAACAACAAATGCTCAAAACAGGATAAGGTTCTAGCATACGGAATATAATTTTGCAGAGAGAAAAATATGCATACGGAATCTCAGGATCAGGTTCTGATTGTGAAGGAGTTGGCATCAAAGCAGCAGGCACATATATGTCATCGAAAAACCCAAGGGATACTACAGACAACAACAACAACAAAAGGTAAAATATATTTATAAGTATATGCTTTTTTAAAAACCTAGGACAGGGGATTACTATGTATCAGATTAAAACATCCTCAAGAAGTTGGATGGTGAACTGTTTGAAAGGCAGACATACAGCGTAAACCATTCGCATTGGATTCTTTCAGCCTTGCTGCTATCACTTCCCCCACAAATGGGCGAAACATTATCAGCCTGAATTTCACCTGTAACACAAAAAGAAACCATGTTTAGTGTTATTGGCTGCATGCAAGCAACTGGGTTATTTAATCGGCGAGTACTCGGCGAGTACTATCTACTCGGCCTCCTACCTTGCAGAGTAGCACCTTTACTCGGCCCGAGTTAATTTTCCGAGTTACTCACCGAGTACTCGGCGAGTTAGTCAACTCGGTGAGTTGGTCAAATTGGCAAGTTACTCGCTACTACTCGGTATATAAAAAAAACTGCGCACAAAACCTAAAACTTTAATCAGTCATCTTTTGGGGCTTCGACTACTGCTGCTACATCATTTGGAGCTGCGACTGGCAGTGTCGGTCATCTTTTGGGGCTTCGACTACTGCTGCTACATCGTTTAGAGCTGCGACTGCTAATGCCAGGAGCTCCAACCGCGACTACTAGGAGCTGGCACTGCTACAGTGCTGCTGGGAGTCACCTGCGAGTGCTACAGGGTTACTGCGAGGTGCTACAGGTAATTCTTTCCCTCGTTTCTTCTTCCTCTTGTTAAAGAAAATTAAATTGGGATTATTCAAACTGCTGCAGCTGCAATTGTTGACCATTGAATTCCCTGCTACTAAGTTCCTTAGTTATTATGTTACTGAGGCATTAAGTTCCTTTTATTCTATGTATTAAGCTTTGATTTTTATATTAATTTTTCCTTGGCAGTGCGTATGTTTGGAGCTTCATATATTCCCCTCCCCTGTCTTGTTTCTTATTATCCCCATACTGGCAGTATATTAATTTCTTATTCTCCATGAGAAATACACACTCACAAACATCCTTTAATTTCTAGTCATGAACTCTGATCAGTCTGGTCAGGCCTCTAATGGTGATGAATCTGCTGCTAGTACACTTAAGAGAAAATCAGATGATATAGGATGGACATGGTGAGAGAATAGAGATCCTACTAATAAAAATCTTTAGTGTGGTGTAATTTTTGTGATAAGAAAATGTCTGGAGGGATTCACCGTCTTAAAGAACACCTTGCACAGGTTAAGGGAAGTGTTTCTTCTTGTAACAAGGTAACCAATGAAGTGATGAAGATAGTTGCAAAATCATTACTTGAAAAAAAATCTGCCGAGGCAAAGAAAGCTAGAGTTGACAGTATCATTGAGAGGGAAAATGCTTTCTTGGATGGGGATGATGAAAGTGAGCTTGGTGATGATGGTGATGGCCAAACTGAAGGTGGACACACAGTTTCAATCTTTACAACTGGGCAAGGCAGTGGCACAAATGCTTCTAAGACGAGAATTAAACAATCTAATGTTAGAGGATCACTAGATACCTTATTAAAGCCCGACCATGAGAGGATGAAACAATCAACGTTGGATAAAAATAATCCAACTAAGCTGAAATTGAAGGAGATTGCTTGGGATAAATTTGCAGAGTGGGGATATGAGGTTGGGTTAGCTTTTAATGCCGTTAGAACACCAAGCTTTCAGGCCTTTATTCATGCAGCTGGAGATTACGGAAGAGGTAAATAGTTCTATAATAGCCTTAATTTTTAGTCCAATAAACTGAAATTTTATTCTTTATTTCTTGTCATTCCTTTGTATGCCAGCACCCAGCTATCATCAATATCGCCATGCTCTGTTAAACAAGCAGCTTGTCAAAACAAAAGAATTTGTTGAATCATTCAGAGCACACTGGAAGACATATGGATGCTCTATTACGGCAGATTTTTGGACAGATGGTAAAGGAAGGGCATTGATCAACTTTTTGGTAACCTGTCCAAAAGGAACAGTTTTTTTGAAGTTGATAGATGCATCTGAGCATGTGAAAGATGCAAATCTCATTGTGGGGCTGATTAATGATATTATTGAACATGTGGGAGAGGAGAATATATTTCAGGTGATCTATTTTAAATTCTAAATCTATTGTCTATAGATTAACTTATAGTCATTTATTAATTATTATAATACTAATTTCAGTTTTTTTTCATGTTAAATGTTAATAGTTCATCACCGATAATGGATCTAACTTCAAGGCAGCGGGAAGGATTTTAGAAGAAGAACATCCTAAGATGTTTTATACCCCTTGTGCTGCACATTGTGTGAACTTGGTGTTGCCCAAGATAAAAAGTGCTTTACGTGAAGGTAAAGCAATGGTTGTTTATATATATGTTTTGGACCCCTTGTGCTGCACATTGTGTGAACTTGATGTTGCCCAAGATAAAAAGTGCTTTACGTGAAGGTAAAGCAATGGTTGTTTATATATATAACCATGGCCTACATGTGAAAGTTAACAAGCAGGAGAGAGTTGCATAGATCATGTGTAACCAGGTTTGCTACTGCGTTTTACACTCTTAAAAGTATTTGGGAGAATAGGTGTCATTTGCAAGTTTTATTTGTTTCTGAAAAATGGACCAAAAGTGAGTTTACACAGAAGGCTGATGGAAAAAAATTGCAAGAATAGTGGCAAGGCAGGCCTTTTGGGATAATGTTTATTTTACTTGTCGAGTCTTGGCTCCACCGGTTGATGTCATAAGATTGGTGGATACAGAAGAGAAACCTAGTATGGGTTATATTTATGAATCTATGGATAGATCAAAAGACCAAATTGAAAAGATCAAAAGAATTACGACCAAAAAAAAAGAATTATATTTGTGAGGAATCTGACTACTGAAGATTTATTTGGTGAAGATCTATTTGGGGACATGAAGGATGAAGAAGAAAATCACAACCTTGAACCCAATGAAGATTAATATCAGACCAACTTATTAGATGATTGACTGCTTTATCACTTTCGTTTTATGACTTTTGCTACTCCATCATTAGGATAATAGGATTTCTATCCTCTTATTCACTTCTATGCATTTTAAGACAATTTAAAGACTATTTTAAGACTACTATATTTCTGTAATTTCGGGCACCTATATTATTATATTTAATTATTTAATAAATACAAGTCCGAGTAATCACCGAGTAATCCCGAGTAATTGGTCCTACTCGCTACTCGGCCCTTGACCGAGTTGCTACCGAGTAGCGAGTAAACTACCTAGGCAAGCAACAAGGTCAAACTCCTCATATTGTCTATAACAGTATGACTTCGTACTGCTGACATATAATAATTAATTACGTAACAAGTATTGTTCCAAAATCTTCTGGGAGAGCATTTTATATTACAAAATACAAATCCTTCTGTAAATAACAAATTGCAAACTTTTAAAACTTGAGAACCCCTCATATCCGGATTACATAACAAATCCTTCTGTAACAAATTGCAGCAGTGTACATAACAAATTGCAAATCCTTCTGTACATTGATGACACAAACGCTAATCAAATTAAATTTCCATACTGCCTAATCAATAATAAAGTCAGAAGTATATAATAGAAAAAAACAAAACGATAAAATAAGCTTTTAGAGAAGGTAAAGAAAAATTCAATCACATTAATATTAAATGGCACAAATATAGCTTAGACCAATACCGTATATGTGGAAGCGCCATCTCCTGGGAAAATGAAACCACCTTGAATGGAGAGAATGTCATAAACAGATATACAAAGCCCTAATTTTGCAATGACCTAGCTCAAGCAATTATCAGAATTGTCTATCAATAAATAGTTCAATATAAAAAAGAAAAGCAGAAGAAGGATGAGCTGCATGCAAACACGCTATGTGAAACAAAAAGCAAACCTTGTCCACGAAAAGACCCTCAAGCTCTCCCTTTATAGCTTCATTGAGTGGGAGATTGAGGAGGCTGGGAGGCACTCTCAATGTATGCTCAATTTCACTCAGATAGAACATTTCTGTTTCCTCGCTCACTGATCTCAAACTAAACAATTTTAATCAGAACTCACAAAGGGAGTGAAAGATTGAGGAGGCTGGGAGACACTCTCAATGTATGCTCAATTTCCCACAGACAGAACATTTTAATCAGAACGTACAAAGTTAGAGCACATACCTGAGACAAAACGAAGTAAATATTGATTTTTATATGCAATTCTGTTGTAAAGCATAGTGAATCGGTTAATCAATTTTGAACTGCAAATCGCTACTCGATTCATATCATACAATTCAAAAGCATATATTAATTAAAGCCTGGATAACAAAATCCATACCCACATCATGAATAAAATGCTCAAAAGCTTGGAAATCTATATATACCTTTATTATATAGTTCTCTTTAGCCGCTAAAACAGTAATAAAAAAATTAGGGTAGGCCACACATGGCACCCATGGTGATGTCTAGAGAATCTATTGGTTTACACATGGCTTTGACTTTTTAGTCTTTCATTGTTTCAAATAAAAAGTATGGTGGGAGTAAGTATTACTCGATATGAATAAATGGTTGGCTATCATATGCACACCTTGTGCATATGCTAAGATGCATTTGATACACTTAGAGAATCTCCAAATGGAGGGTGGATTGCAGCAAGGTACACCCATGTGGCATAGGAGAGAGATAAAGATAGAATGATTATTTTAATTTGATAAAGAGAAAGTGGTGTGTAGGAAATAATGAAAAAGAGAAGAGAGATAGAGATAAACAAGATCCACATATGGACCTTACATGGATTCAAGGAGAAAACGTAGAGGAAAAGTGGGTTAAAACAACAGGACATATGTAGGTCTACACATTAAATTGTGGGATAAAAATGGGGCCCATAGTTAAGGGTGTATAATAGACTACACCTTCCCATTGGAGATGCTCCTATGAATTCCTATAAATAGAAAATTTAACGGGTCATGCTTGAAATAGGGGGATTTAGCAATACAATCCATTGTGTGCAAAAATTAAAAATATGAAGTAACTTCAATTGCAACAAGAAAAAGTAAGATTCAAAAACAAGAATTACAAATGGTTAACAAGAATAGGAGTTCTAACCGAAGTAGAGAAAAAACACATCACAAATTCACAACCGTTCTCTATGGGTTCTCATAGGCTCATATCGCTTGATAATGACATCATCGTCAATTTTAAGGAAGAATTTTTCTTTAAAAAAAAGAAGCCTAAATTGTTTCAGAAAAACTCTTTAAAAACTAGCTTTTGGAATGTGAAGAACCAATGCCAAATTAGATAATGCTAAAAAGGTCCTCACAATCATTTTAAAAACAATGGGATTAATACTTATAAAAGCAAATTATTTTCATACTAGGCAATGGGATGAATAGTCACAATCAAGTTAATACTACTGGGATTAATACAAACAGACTCGTACTTGTATTACAAACAATGGGAATTAAGGGATTAATAATAATCTGCAAACTAACCAACAAAGGCACTGCACTATACGCAGGGCGTAGCCAGGACAAAAGTTCAGCAGGGCAGTTATGAACTAAAAACAATATGTAAAAATGTATACGAGAAAACATTTTGAACATATCAATTCAAATTCAGTAAATTTATAGTAATACTACCTCCGTCCCGTAAACAACTTCCCACTTTCCTTTTCGGGCAGTCCCGAAATTAACTTCCCACTTCTTCCCACTTCCTTATTAGGCAAATTATCTACATCAAAACAGTGCAAAACAGTGCGAAACAGTGCCGAAACAGTGTCCAAAGTCCAAACATGGTCAAAGCAGTCAAATTTTCCCCCAGTAAATTTATTTCCTTAATATGTGTGAAAACGAAGTGAGAAGTTGTTTACGAGATGGAGGGAGTAATTTGAAGCAGTACATAAAATGATAAAATATATGAAATTAAAACGTTAACTAACATGCTTTCTGTATTCCCGGGTCCCGCTCAATTTTAATTGCATTGTAAACGAATTTCTCTTGAACGCATGAAAACTTTGGAGTTTCAATCAAATCATTCAACTCTTGTCTGTTTTCTACACATGTAGTAGGGTGAAAAACAAATTAAATGTCATGTTTGCCTTTTCAGAAGTAAATCATACTACCGGATTTGGAGGCCCTGTGCAATAACAAAATTTGGGCCTTCCTTTCTAACACAAATAGAAATAAAACATAAATAAAAATCATAATAGTAAAAAATACTGATAGTTTGTGTTAAATTACAAGTTCATAAAGAAAATAATAATAAAAACCAAAGCACTCATTAAGTGAAAAGTATCAATTTATTGAAATCCTCCAATAATCCTATACTTTTTTCTTGAAACTGGTGGCTGAATAGAATTAGTAATATCTGTGTGAAAAAGAACAAACCCTTAGTACAACACACAACCCAAACCCACAAAAAGATAATTTGTGTGAATAAGGCCTCTTTTCAAGATATGATGATTTAATCAACAGAACATGAAAAAAAGAGCCTTACATAGATCATCATCTACAATAACCATTACTAGCAGCAGATTGAAACAAAGTAATCTGGCTGTTATCCACTGTTCAAATTAATGAGCAGTACCTGGACACCATGGAATGGAATGCATAATATTGTAACAAGATTGCTCCTCCAAGATTTTGTAGAACTAACACAGAGTTTAACCCTTCCTATTTGCTTGTGGAATCCAAACCCTTTTGATTCCATATGGTTTTAATGTCAGTTTGATTTAAGTGAAAAGTTGATTTATTTTTTGTTTAAGGACTATAACTAACTTAACAAGTATAAACATATTTATAACAATTTATTAAATATAAATAGTTTAATTAATTCATCAATTAATTACATTAAATTATACTCGTACACAACAACCTAATTTTTAAATTTCATTATTTCATCAATTCATCAGGTTAGTAGGCGGACACCTTAAATCCATAATCTCCATTGGTCCATAGAAATAATTAAAATCACATATTCACATAAAGTCATAAATTACACAAAAAATTAATAATGAAAACATTAAAAAAATTAATTTATTTCTTATTAGTTACGGAGGAGTGGAGCAATTACCTGTGTAGTAGTGGAGTCGTAGATTTGCTGATGGGAAGAAGAAAACGAGTGAAGAACCGCAGTCCCCAGCCGCAGGTCTCGCTCAGTCTGCTCGTCAATTGCGGATGGGAAGGAGACGTAGATTCGTCGGCTGACTCGGCTCGTCGCTCGCCTCACTCAGTCTCTGGCTATGCGGCTGCGCCCTTCGGCCTTTCGCACTTAAATCCAGAATCGCAATTGCGCTGTTCGCCCCTCTCCCCCTCCCCTTAGCTTCACGCCTTCAGCCCTTCACTCCGTCTCGCTCTCGTCTCTCAGTTGCTGGCTAACTAATACTTCGTACTACTCTCTCCCTCTATTATCATGTATGAGAAAATGCTTAGTTTACACAAAAAACTCCTTAGTTACTCATAATTCATTTAGAAAAGGGTAGGATTTCATACCCAATTGACTGTGTACATTTTGTGTACACCCCATGACCCATCTCATTGGGCTTTACTAATTGAGCATAAAACAAACAAATTCCTATTTGCACTCAAATTATTTTTAGAATAACAAAATACATATTCAGAAACTACATTAAAAGCTTTACAAAGTCGCAAAAACCAGAATCAAATTTGATAAAAATTTGATGCATAAAATAAGAGATTAAGAATGATTTGTGTTAATCAAATGAATAGGAATTGGGACAATAATTAGAGGACGGTGGGAGTACGTTGCTGCAGTAGAGCAGTAGTCATATTACTACAATTTCTTTTGCCCTCCAATTTTTTTGGCCATGTGTAATTGGGTTGCCCACACTCCATCTGGGCCGGCCCTGGAGTTACTTGATAATATGTTGATTCATGCATACTAATGTTGACAAGGGTGTTTATACCGGAGTCGGGCTACCTCTCCGATCTCCACTCCAAGAGGTAGTCGTAAATATTAGGGAAAATGTGAAAATAAGCCCTCGAACTAACCGAAAAAGTGTAAATCACCCCTTTTATAGAAGGTTATGTCCGGACATCACCATTTGGGGCGGTTCCTGGTGGAAGTTTTTGATGAATTGTTTTGAGCATCTTCTTCATTAAGTCTAGTTTATTCATACCAAATTGCAGCTAAAAATTTAATCGGGAAGGCAGTCAAATGATTTTCTGAAATATACTGTGTTGTTTAACTGCGCAATTATCTTCAAACATTTATTTGACTACCTTCGTGATTTCATTTTTAGCTGAAATTTGGTATGTGTAAACTAGACTTAATGAAGAAGATGCTCAAAAAAATTCATCAACAAATTCCATCGGGAACCACCGAAAATGGCGACGGTCGTACAAAGCCTCCTATAAAAAGGGTGATTTGCACTTTTTCAGTTACTTTGAGGGCTTATTTGCCCCTTTTCCCTAAATATTAAGGTCTATATAATCTCATCCTCCTGAACCCTACTTTTAAATGGATTAGATTGGGTATGTTTATTAAGTTTGGTTTACTGTCAGTCTGCCAGTATAAGTCAATCAAGTGGGGTTGCCCGGCCTTGTAATCTAACCATCAACACTAATTTTACTGTAATGATGAAAATGCTTGCTTTCAATTTTCAAAAAAAAAAGGATGACACCCCATCCCTGAGGGCCCCCCAACCCCGTGCTTTCAATTTTCAAATACTCCTTCATGCTCACAATAAGTGTTGTTTTGGCAGAAATTGTATAAAGTAAGGAGTTATTAAATTTATAAAACTTGACAATATTATCTTTTACTAACATTTAATTATCAATGAAGATTATATATGTGGAGGAGTCCACTTAAACCATTTTTTTACCTCCAAAACAACACTTTATGTGAGCATAATAAATTACTCTTTCTGGAGTAAATTACGTTAAAGTTCAAGATATAACATAAAGTGGTAAAATGCCCCCCTTTCTCGTCCATTGAAATAACAAGTGAGTTTTGAGTCCATGTTCTTTTTCTTTCTCAGGAATGAGCTTGCACAACTTTCCGGAGGGAATGACTGTATATGTTGGATTAGTAAAGGCACCTACCCTAGAAATAACAAGTGAGTTTTGAGTCACTTTCACTCTACTTCAAGTCTAGTTGATTGTGTGACACTTTCATAGGTATATTTTTCATGTATATATAGTTTTTGTGAAAAAGATCTTTCTTCTCAATTTCTGAGTGTGGCCTCTTCATTTTGAAATTGTTATTTACCTAGTTTTTTACAATATGTAGGTGTACCTAACTCTCTCTATATTATGTGTTTCTCTTTTGATTAGTTTTAAAATTTTGTGATTTAATAATAAGTTTGTAAATTCGTTATAGCATTTGGAATATGCAGACCTACTCCAGTACTTAGTAGGATAACTGGAGCACTTAACTAATTGACTCGTAATTTGGATTAGCTATGGGGTGTATTAAGGTATATTTACCTTGTAAAAGCATTTTGTCTGTTTATATATATTTTTTATAATTCTAATCTAGTGTAGTTGACTTCATATTTTTCTAGTAGTAAGTTACAAAAATATTCCAATGCCTTTTAATGTGTTGTCAGTGCTGAAGATGAAGCGTATACAATCCTCCTATGATTTGTGATTGTCTTCAACCTTGCAGTTGCCCTCTTGCCATTTGTTTTGTTTCTAGAAGACAAACAAAGTGAGCTGCCATTTTCGTATAAATAAAGATGCTACCGTTTGGGACTTCGAAGCTCAACTAGTATACTTGCCTGATAAGCACAATAATTACTTATGTTTTACATAGGTAATTATATTTATTTGTACAAAAATGTAAGGCGAAAACAAGTAAATATTCCAAAGTGAGCAAAACTGTGAAGTATGGCTCGAAGCGACAAATATAGGGTCAAAAGTCAAAAGGGATCGAAAACTGGCACTTCTAGATCACTCGTGGACACCAAAAGAAGAAAAAGGGAGTAAATGTTTTGGCGCGGCAAACGGCGCCGGTCAGGCTGCAACCGGCGCCGGTCGGGTGGAATTAATGAGCAAAATGGGCCTATTATCATCCGAGGGTGGTCAAATGAAGTAACCGGTGAGAAATTGCACATAACCGGTGCTGGTCACCTGACCAACCGGCGCCGATTGGGCCATTTACTCACGAAAAACACACAAAACCGGCGCCGGTCAAGCTGAAACCGGCACCGGTTGGACCGATATCTGCTAAATACACAACGACGTGCAAGAAATTCTTGATGGGAAAACTTCATCTTCCTCATGATTTGATCACATATTGCTTACATACCTGATTGTTGGACTCGAATAGACTAAAGATGTCATTCTTTAACCCATATAAAGCCCTCAATTCATCAAACAAGATCATTCCATTCCATACTTTAATTCCTAGCTTTTGTATTTTGTTGTTGCTATTGTTCTTCAAGTTCTTGAGGAGGAGTGTTCATCCTTCGAAATCATCGGTGTTTAGGTATTATTTCCTTTTTAATTTCATATTCCATTAAATTTAATTGTTGTATTGTGATTAATATGAGCATTAGATTCTAATTTCTTAGCTAAATCTAGGGATGAAACTCTATGCCCACTAGGTGTTTGATAAAAGTTCTAAACCAATAAATTGTGATTTATCTGTTATATTTTGATTGTTTATGACTACGGTGTACAACATAGAAGTATGTTAAATTTAGTTTATGCTTGCAATTAACGTTGAAGTCTAAACTATGAACATTAAAGGATAAACATATATAGTACCGAGAATAGAAATATATCTAGTCTTATATGATACGGGTGTGAAGTCTTGATATTCAACGGGGTTTTCGGTAGATGAATGTAAGTCATAACGTGACTTACACGTAACAAAAACCACGCTCTCGCTGCCTTAACCGGAGTTAAGAATATATTTGTAACACCCATACTTTTTCTACTTCTTATGTGTGAACTAATGTTATATATGATCATAATTTAACTTATGTTTGAGTGCTATATTTGTGAAGTGTAAGGATAGTATGCGATTATGAACTTTGTGATAATGATAAGTAATGAAGGATAAGAAATGTTACAAGGTAGTTGTGCCTCCAAGTAACTACCTGAGATGAGCGTAGTGGGACAGACTTTCGCGGGGAGTCCCGGGGTTGCTTCTGATGGGATGCGGGCTAGCTACCCGAGGTCATTAGCGAGGGGCCAAGACACGAGCTACGGGCCCATAAACTCAAGGAACAAGATGAGAAGAAAGAATGATGAATAAGGAAACCTCTTGGGGTTTGATATGTGAATGCTTATGTGTGTTATGCGCATTTCATGTGCGATTATAATATATGTGTGGTGTATTAAGCATCGGTATCTATTTATGATTAGCTGAGATTCCTTAAAATGTTTTAGTGGATGAAATGGTGACTTACTAAGCATTATTTCTTACAAGAATTCTATTCTCTTATGTTCTCATGTATAGGTAATATACGAAGTATGGGAGCCTGAGAGAATGTATGGAGTCTGTGACAAGGTTTTGGATGGGTTAACGGAGAAGATCTGGCTATTTGTTATGTTTTGCTTTTAGTACTTTGGTACTTTTACGGATTGTTAAATGATTTTGAAATCCTGATCAGGTGTAACAGTTTTAAAGACATTTTATTTTGGATACCCTTTGTTATGGTTATAAGGTTGGATTATAAGTACAAGAAATAAAGTCTCATCTCGAGGCTTAGTTTTCTTTAGTTCCACTTTTTATATTGAGACTCTTTTATATTTGAGTATGGTAATGGCCGTTTGGGGACGGTCGTTACAATTTGGTATCAGAGCTCAGGTCCTTTCGTAACTCCATCCATTACCACGCACCGCTCGACATCTCTCAGGTAAGTGAGTAGTTAAAGTCATATAAGAGTAACTACTATTTCATATAAGTGAACTCAATACAAATGTTGGGTATATATGCATGTGGCATGTGTATTCACTACACTATGAAGATGTTTCTTGAAGTACTGTAAAGCATACGGGTAGGCTGGAGAGCAGGCCATGGTTTAGCAAATGTGTCAAGGCTTAATAGGGGTTACTGTGCTAGACAAGATGATAATGGGATTAAGATGAGATCTAAGGCCCTTAAGATCAAGGTTATCAAGGTCAACCTGCTAAATTTCCCGTAACAAAAGGTGCTTAATAACACTTATTCTAGACAAATAAGTTGTTTATGAAAATTTTCAATCGTCCTTATAGGTTGAGGAGCATAGTAGATCAGAACTGTAACGCCCGTACTTTTTAGCTACTTCTTATGCGCTAATCAATTTTATATATGATCATGTTTTAACTTATGATTTGAATGCTATATATGTGAAGTATATGAATATCATGTGATTATGAACTTGGTGATAATTGTATTTGGT